TGCAAAGCTTTTGCTGGGCCAAAGAAAACAACATGGCTAAGAGATAAAAATGGGAGAAAATACTGCGAACTCTTTATATGCTACAGGATTAATATCCAAAATATAGGAAGAATTCAAATAAGAGTGTAATCGAATGTTGTTTCTATTTTCAGTAATTGGAGAAGCAGCATGCCCCTTACACAGGGACACGGAAACTGTTTCCATTTCCAGGCCCAGCCTCTTGCTAGCCCTTCAGTATTTCTGCATCATTACTAAAACTTTCTTTTCCCCTTTCCACACATCCAAATGATTTTTCTTAGACAAAGGCAATTTTCGAAGTTCCTTTCTTTCTCACTATAAATACAGAAAAGATTGCACAGATGTCAATCAAATACATATCACACATGGAAATATTAAGATACAGAATCTTGGGTGAGAGAGTTTGGAATTGGCTGCTATAACCTGTTTCACCCAACACATGCACTTAATGGGCAACCTGAAATAGCATCATCTGTGTCTTAAGGTCCTTCAATCATAAGTGTTGTGGGACCACCTACAAAAAACCATGGACAAGCCAAAAGAGGTCTTATATTTTCTCTACATACCATTTTTTGGGGGCAAATTCAATAAAGAAACTAAGCCATATATACCTTAAAGTTTTATATACACATTTCATATATATAGATTTATATGCATATATATGAATCAAATAAAACAAATAGCAGTCTATTTCCACATCAAATCAATCCTGGGCAATTTAACTTTGGATTTTGAGTATTTCATAGATAATCTCTGATGACCAATGATTCATGGAATATAAATGACTCACTTCGTACCTCCCTGGTCTTGCTACAGGTCCTTTTCTGCAATTAAGTTTGGCTATTCCAGGCAATTCCCTGTGACAATTTTATTTGAAAGCTTAGACTGACAGAATACCTCATCTCGGCTCCCACATTTACTTTGGGGTTTAGGATACAGCGATTCCATTCACACTAAATATTCAGACCTGTCACTGTAAAATATGCCTGGGGTGGCTCTGCTCCTCTTCCGCGGTGGCTAGGAAGCCTTTCAAGGGCCCATCGGAGTGGAAGCACTCAAGCGAGTACGTTTTAAAGTGACAGTTCTATATCCAAACTCTGTGGTCTTAATGAAATCTTTATTCTAAAAAGTGAACTTTTAACTCAGCAAGAGGCACTGTGGTCTCCTGCCTCTCTCTGTTTAATTATTTCCAAATCAAGTTCACGGGAGCAGGAAACATTTTCAGAGGACTCAGGAGACCTGGCTGAACTTGGTAGTCAGTGGTGGCAGGCAATTCTGAGAATGTGGAAAAACTTTTTCTAGCATCTTAGGTTTGCAGTTTTGAAGTGCTTCTTCGGGCTTTATTTATTATGGGGAAGGAGAGTGACTTTAGCTTGCCAGTAGAAGTTTTCAAAGGCCCTTGACATTACTGAACCAAGAGCAAAGTTCAATATGAAACCTGGTCGATGTTTGTACAGTTCTTAGATGTGGGCATGCTGTAATTAACTTGGCAGCCTCTGATGGCTAAACAACATGGCCACTAGCAGCAGAAGGATGGCAGACAGGTCAGTATCCTGACTCACTGCCAGACTCTCCTGGGCAATCCTTCATGATGCTTGGAGCAGGTCCAGAGAGCTAGTCCCTGAAGAAGTTTCCATGAATGATGCTCACCCCCAAATTAACCTCATCAATTTGAAACTGTGGAAATGGAAATGGTTAATCCCAGAGACTTATTCTGTCATCTGACATTCTGCCAGTTTCTGGCTGTACTGGTTTTGCTCATTGCATAAAAGTGATCACATTTCTGAGCTTTAACGGTGTGTAGATAAATATTCAAGTATCTTTCTGAGAGGCAGCCCAACATGTTTCTTGAAGCCACAAGTTACCTATGTGAACAGTTGGAGTCTCTATAGTTAGTCACTGTAAAACAGACAATTCACGGTCACAGCTCAGTCTTCTGAATTTATTGGTTAAGTCTCAGTAGTAGATGGGTGCTAGGTGGCTTTGGATGCTCTAATTCATTGCTCTAATAATAAAAGGTCAGAGCACTGACCTTTTCTATTCCTCTCTCATTTGGGGCCATTCTATCCATTGGAGGTTGAGCATATAAATGATAGAGCAAGATGGATTTCACCAATTCTATAAGCAAATTTTATCATGATCAAGGTACTTTTTATACCTTGGTTTCTTCATCTATGAAATAGGTTTGTTGTGTAACATATGGGAAAAGCACTTGGAGAACTTTCTAGTATGTTGTTTGTGTCATAGATGTGTTAAATTTTGCTGTTTTTGGTTAAGGAGCACTCAGTGATTTCCGCAAACTGTAAGAGGAAAATGGACCTGTATGTCTTGGAGATAAAGAAACAGGTTTCATATTGAAAGCTGTTTGTGAGTGACCATGGAGTTAGACAGAAATTTAGCTCACTAAGCCTTGGTTGTCTTCTATGCTTGCTTCGGAAGATTTCTGTGGCAACCTAGTGTAAGTATTTATTATCATCTGTATTATTTTAATTGTTGGTATTTTCCACATTTATTAACATTGCACTCCCATGGCCCATGACAAATTCGTCTTACAATAAAATAACAAAAACAGTATAGAACTCAAGGGACAGAAGGAAAGCTAGATGCATGCCGTATCCCAGGAGAGCTTTTCTCTTTCCACGTCTCTGCTGTGGTGAGAAAACTCAAGTTCCAAAAGAAAAGGAAAACAAACAAAACTAAACCAATTGCTTTTGACACTCTCCTGTTACAACTCCTTCACAGGCTCCTGACAAAATTAAAAATATTTTAAACACTTGCATTATTCACTCACTATTTTCCAAGCCAGTTGTCCCTGTTTATGCTTGAATGATCTTACACAATCTCCACTTCCTTTCCATGTATGACCCTCAACCTTATTTCCTACGAGGCTTTCCTCCACAGCTTCCCAGGTAACCACATTGATTTTCTCTTTCTTCCTGCCGATTCTGTTCTGAGTATGTTCTGCTTTGAAAACATGCTGCCTAATGGAGCACAGTACTGCATGTGTAATCTTTCATTAACTGGTCAAAGGGAAACATTACTTCTCTTCTTGGACAGTCCACTTCTGTTCTGTCATCTATGATGAACTTAGCAGCAAGATCACAGTCTGGACTGCTCAATGAACTGATAGTTGAGATATTCCTAAATGCTTCTCTTAAAAGTCTCCCGCCCACCCCAGCTTCTGTTGTTTTTCTACTGGGTCTAGAAAAACACAACTCAGAACAGGGCCATGTACTTACCCATAATAGTTTTCAAAACTCCAGTCCCTTCCTCACAATCCTGAATGGTCTTTCTCAGACCCTTAGTAATTAACTTCTTCAGCCTTTACCTAGTACATATCACAAGAAGTTTTCTCTCAGTGATGTCCTTGAAATACCAGGAGTGCCGAAGGTGACAGAGACAGTAGCTATTGTCACTCTTTCTGGTAGTGATGTATGTATGTATGTATGTAAGTATGTATGTATGTGTGTATGTATGTATGTAAGTATGTATGTATGTGTTGTTGGTATCTTCATTCACCAGTTATGAGTCCCTCTGGTCTCATCTGGTCCCCTTTGTGAGTTATTATGAAGCAGTGCAGAGGCTCTATGGAATGCCAATCAAATGCTGTTGTACTTCTCTGATTTACTCAGACTCACCTTAATGTTACAGGAAACAGAAAACGAAAACAAAAACCTGGCTGTAGAGATGGTGTTTTGGGTAAAGCACTTGCCATTTTAAACTTGAGAAACCGAGTGGAGCCTGTAAGCCCAGCACTCCTATGACAGGTAAGAGATAGAGGCAGGAGACCTATCAGTGCTTGTGAACCAGCTAGTCTGGAGAAGCCAACAGAAAACAGCAAAGGCCCTGTGCCAGAAAGCAGAAGGCCACTAACTGTCTCTCACATACATTTGATGCACATAAGCTTACCCTTCTACACAGAAATATGAGTGCACAGACACACCTATTTTAGAAATCCTCGTCATCATGTTTGTCAGGAGCTACATCATCTCTTCCATCTAGAAATCCAGAGAGGCCTTTGGAGATGGTTCATTGTTTTCTACTTCTCTTCCCATTCAACTCACTTACCCAGTCTTAGCATAGAAAGAAAAAAAAGACATTTACTTTATTCTGCATGCACATAGGGCACTCAACTAGAAACTCCCATGAATTTTCACAAAGTGACATATTCCCGTACCTGTAGAATTACATTTTTATTGTGACCTACAAGGAGGGACATTGAAATCTATTCTGTAGTCTGGTAATATGACAGACATCCTCATTATGGTATGTTCTAAATTTCTGAGAATGAGGTTAGACATTCCTTCCCTAGAGAATGTGAGGTTTTTTTTTCATCACAGACAAGTAAAAATTACTTCAAATATTTCCCATCCTATATTTTAAGGTATTCATTCACTTGGGAGGCACATATGACGTTTTTAATGCTTTTATATACATGTATTTCAAGCTCATCTCTCTTTCTCTACACACACACACACACACACACACACACACACACACACACACACACCTGTTTTGTTTTGTTTATTGAGATGAAATCTCGTTATACTGGCTTCTACTTCAGCTGTCCTATAACTCCTGGGTTCAAGTTAACCTCTGTCTCAGCTGCCTAAGCCACTGGGATTGTAGATACACAACACTACATGCAGTAACACAACTAACTTTTTTAAGACAGGAAAATGTTTCTATGAAAATAGCATTGCATTTGGTGGAACTGGTCTTCTATTTAAAAAGACAGACACAGACAGAGGGGCCACCAGGATTTATCCCTACTGCATGTATACCTTGCTCAGCCTAGATATAGTAGGGAGGGTCTTGGATCTTTCACAAGGCAATTTATGGGGGTGGGGTGGGAGGGTGTGTGGAGGGAATGAGAGGAGGGAAGGGAGTAGGAACTTTGATTGGTATATTTTTTTAAAAAAAATCTAATAAAAAAGAATGACATTTTTGAAAAAAAGAAGACAGACAGACACATACACAAGTTAGCACAACTCACTGTTGTATTAATAGACTTGTAGTGAGGAATAATGGAGCCCAGTGAAGCTTGTAGCACCTAGAAAATGGTAGAGAGACAGTCTTTAATCTCAGTATTGAGAGGGAGTGCACTTCAGCCAGAATTTGGGGTTCTGCAATATTTAGAGTTTAATAATTCATTTCACCAAAGACACTAAGCAACTGAGTAACACACTGACTTTTCTGTCAATCCAGAGTATTGTTCTACCCTCACTTCTGCCCTCAAGATTTGGAATGGATTCAATATGCTCTCAACATTCTCCGCTCTATTGGGAGCATAGTTGACACAGAGTTCCTCTCATTCAAAACCATCATTAAAGCATTCAGAATTTCCTAATAACTCTCTTGATTAAATCAGAGAATAAATGCCCCAGAATAAAGTCAAATAACAATAACCATATAAAACAACAATATCTCTTAATAAAATCAGAGTCCTGAAAGCTGTCTCCCAGGCCCTGCAAAATCTCCAACTCTTCACACTACTCCTAACCTGACTTCACAGCTTTGGATATCAGTCCTGGCAACACAGGCTGCCTTTCTGTGTTTGGGATGCTTCAAAAAAAACCCTTTCTCTTCAGTATTGCTTCCTCTGTTTGGTACATTCTTTCTACAAATAACCAAGAAATTCATTTCCTTTCTACTTCCTTGCTTAGTTCTCATGTAACCTATAAAGCTATCCCTGATATTATCACCCAATATCCCAGCGTCCAAATTGCATTTGCTGTCTCTTTCAGTCTCCAGGGATATTCATGACAACCTATCACCAGGGATCATTCTATATCATTAACTTGGACATAAACCACACATAGCCACTAAGATTTGAGTTCTATGAGGTCATACTTTTTAAACGTAGTTTTTTATTAACTGTATTCACAATGATTTTCATAAATCTTTAGTGTATTAAATAGGATTAAAAGGTGCAAAAGGTGAATTGGTGACATTTTATGGAAGAATTGATATGATGTCATAGGAACCATGTCCTTTCTCTTGTAGGAAGAGAAGTCATTGAATGCTACTGAGAACTTTGGAAGCTGCAAGTGGCATCTTTGTAGTTTACATATCTCTGGGTGACCTACCCTTGTACCCTAATATGAATTACAGACCTGAAAGCACTGACAAGACTTCTCTTCTTAAGGTATCTGGGGATGTTTAGACTTCCATTTCTTATACTGCTGGCCAAGAGAGGCTGACTGGCCCTGCTCACTCCTGGTCAGAGCTATTGAGCAATCAATTGAGCCTGTGAGATTGGAATCCTGACTATGTGCACAATTGAAGGGAGAATTGAAAATTAAAAGAGTCACATGATAACGTGGTTTTATAATGCCTGTTTTGTTGATGTTGAGAAATATGGAAGAGGAATTTCCACATTTTAAATGTAAAAGTCGAGCTCTACATCAAATTTTCTGTGTCAACAAAGAGATTTTCAAATAAACAATGATGTAAATGTAATTATGAGTTACCAAACTGACTTTTTTGTGTGTATTTTATAAAATATGTGAAATCAAAGCCTGAGAACAAGGGACATATGTGAGGGTTTTCTGCAGCAACAAAAGAAGATGCCAAGAAGACTATGAATAAATAGAAGTCTAAACTCAAAAGTTAGGCAAAATTCAATATAATATTCTGGGAAGTAATTAGATGTTTCTCCTTTCTATCATTTGAAAGCTGTTATTCATAGAAATTGTGAAAGGTCTCACTTGGGTACAGAAAATACAAAAATGCTAAGAAATACTCAAAGAATACTCAAAGTTTACTGATGAATTCTTTTTTGGTTATTAGGGCCATTGTTTTTAAGGTCAAAATTGAGTGTTTGGGAAATCTCATCTCATGGTTTTCCACTTTATTTGGCAGATACTAAACGAAACAGGTGAATTTCTTAGTTTAAAGATGAAGTAAATAATTGTACATAGAGACTATACAGCAAGTTGGGTAGCTAATTCTTATTTTTAACTAAACACAAGTTACAATGAATACAGCCTCTAAGTGTCCTTCCACTTTTGTTAAAAAATCAGTCAAATATTGTAAATTTTTAGTGAAAAAAATGTATATGAAAGATATACAAGAGAAAGAGGGCAATAAAAAACTGCAAGAATTTCATGTAAAGACCATTATATTGAACAAGGCAAATATTTTTTTGCTTTAGAAAAATACTTTAAATGAGGAATTTCGATTTAAATTACAGATATATCACTTATTTTTAGTAGACTGAATATGATAAGTGAAGAGCTATGTTATATTATTCTTTCAATTGCACTAATGAGTTGATAATAGAATCTTACTTTTGATGATGGGCAGGTAGGATTATGGGAAACTGAGGTGACAGGGTTTTTTTTTTTTCTTAGTGACATTAAATTTTTTTAAAAAAATAGAATGGATACTGGAATTCAAACCCATCTCTCTAACATCTTTGAACTCTAATTTGTAGGTAACATATGAAAAGCACACTTTTTGATGTAAGCATTAATAATTTTCACTGAAGTTTTACTGACCAACTTATAGTGCAAGAGTTCATAGCATTACTTCTCTTGGAATCTCATTGTACAAGGGAAACAGATGGAAAGTGGTGCGGGAGAATTATCTGTATTCTGTTAATCATATTTTAATAAAACGCTGATTGGCCAGGCAGGCAGTATAGGCGGGAAAGCCAGACAGGAAGTAGGGGTGGAGCAAAGAGACTGGGAGTATTCTGGAAGCAGAAGCTCTCTCTCAGCCACTCCTGCGCAGACCACCGAAGAGGCAACATGTAAGCTGTCACACTGAGAAAGGTACTGAGCCCATGTGGCTAACATAGATAAGGATAATGGGGTAATATATGTTATAAGAGTTAACAAGAAGCCTGACCTAATGGGCCAATCAGTTTATAACCTTATGGAGTCCTGTGTATAATTTCTCTTTGGGATTTGCCGGCTGTTGGGGTACCGGGCGGGACAGAAGCCCCAACAAGCCGGCCCCCGTCATGTTACAGGAAAGCACTTGGGTTGGCTCAATTTCATTGGCCTCAGATGCTCCCCAGTCTCATAGACTAGATAGGATAGATAAACCCAAGATTCTCTTCCTCAGAGTAGGCCTGAGATGGTGCTGGAAACCCAGCCAACTACTGAGGATTAGTGAAGTCATGGATCTTGGAGCGGAATCTACATCACCACTTTCTAAGACAGCATGATCCTCAATTATATTCTAAATATTTGTCCATGTGCTCTTGGAAAAGTACATCCCTCACACTTCATCAAGGAAACATCACTTTGTTACAGATGGAGATAATTTCAGAGAATCACAACTGATCAAAAGTCAGAGTTGTGGAGACAGTCCTAACTGACAGATCTACAAAACAACTTGGACATCGAAGGCTCAGGTATCATTGAAGAAGTGGGGGCGGGAGACGGTAAGAGCCAGAGGAAATGTGGTTTCTGTGAGATTGTGTCTTCTAGGAAGGTCAGAAGCTACACCCATAAAGTCCCACTTACATGACTATCTAAGCATGAGCTGAACATGGAAAACAGCAGCAGACATGCCAAAGTGGCCAGGAGAATGACTCTGAGGCCTTAAGTAGTAACAAGAAGTAGGCAATTAAGGAATTCTAAGGGCAAGAAAAGTTTTCCTCAGGAAATAATTCACCAAACGGTCATCCCTGAAAACATACACACATTAAGTAACGTTGCATGGATTGAGGAAGGTATACTTATATATTTAGGAATATATAAGTGAATTTATATACTGTTGTTACCACAGCAACATTAGTTGAACATGTGTTACATTCATATATGTCATGCAATATTTGGTCAATGATGCAAAGATGTGTTGCATCTTTCATCTTGCATTTGTTTATCTCTGTGAAGCTGTGTTACTTCGCCTGTCTGGAACACCTGTTTGGTCTAATAAAGAACTGAGTGGCCAGTAGGTCAGCAGCAGAGAGAAATAGGTGAGGCTGCCAGGCAGAGAGAATAAATTGAACTAGGAGAAAGGAGGGGAGTGAGAAAAGGTGGAGGAGAGGAGGACATCAGGGGCCACACAGCCTGTCATGGAGGAAGAAGGTAAGGCAAGAGATATAGAATAAAGAGAGGCAAAAAGCTGAGAGCAAAAAGGTAGATGGGATAATTTAAGAAAAACTGACTAGAAAAAAAGTCAAGCTAATGGCAGGCACTCATAAGGAAAAATAAGTATCCATGTATTTATTTGAGAGCTGGGTGGCAGTCTCCCAAGGAGCAAACACTTAAAAGAAAGAAAGGAAGAAAGGAAGGAAGGAAGGGAGGGAGGACGGAAGGAAGGAAGGAAAGAAGGAAGGAAAGAAAGAAAAAACTATAATATAATCATAATATAGGTCATAAAAAAGGAAAAAAGGCTACGAATTGGAATGAGAATTGGATGGGAGTATGTGGGAAACTTTGAAGGAGGAAAATGATGTAATTATATTATAATCTCTAACAATCTCTAACAAAAATTTTTTTAGAAAAGAGTCCTGTTGTCTGCCCTGTACTCTGGTGTAGCAGCTACTGACTCTGACTGACTGTGTGTCCACTCTAATGTTATAAATGTTTGTTCTGAGTGATGTCCGCCTCTGCCACACTCACTGGAGACCATTGTGAAACCAGACTGTTTTCTCAAGTGTTCAACATTACAAACACAGCCTGTATTAGGAGTATCATTTCCAGGCAGCCCCAGGCTGTAGCTGCCTATCACTATTGAGTGCTTTTTAACTCTCCCTTCATGGATGTCCTAGCTCATGCAAAGGTCACATAGCTCTCTTATAAGATCATTTATTTGGTCAATATTCATTTAAAAAGTCCCTGGGTTAATAGCAGTTCCTGTTATCTGCCCCAGCTGATATTTCTTAGAAAAAAAAAAAAAGGCTTTCCCCTGACTCATTTATTCGACTACTCAATATATTAGTCGGGGTTCTCTGGAAGCGGAAAACACACACACACACACACACACACACACACACACACACACACACACAGAGAGAGAGAGAGAGAGAGAGAGAGAGCATAGTAACAATGACTATGTTTTGTTGCCTTACTTGATAGGGCCTGGGCATTATGCTATGGCTGTCTGCATGGAAGTGGGTTAGAACCTGACAACTGTGCTGTCCACATAGCTGAATTTTTTAGAAGCTCCAAATGTGTGTTGGGGGCTTGGAGCTCCCTGGTGAGCTGCTGGTCTTCAGTCCAGCAGTTGAAACTGGAGGTTGATGGCGGCAGCAGCTGACAGCAGCTGCACTAGAGCCATGCCTTCAGGAAGAAACGCAGGAAGCCAGCTGACATTATTCCAAAAGAGCAAGTTGCAAGGTGCTGACCATTTGGAGGGTACTTCTCAGCCTTCAGTTAATGTCTTTTGGAAGTGTTCTCACAGATAGGACTGGGCAAGCATTCTCTAGGTTGATTCTAAATCCTTTCAACAATACAATTCAGACCAATCACCTCACCAAGCTTAAGTTTTAAGTAAGTTTTTTAAATAAAAAAGTAGAGAAAGTAAATATCTCAACCAATATAAACCTTTATCATTACAGAAGGCTAAAATTAGATGAAAGAAAAGTAGATAATGTTATCACAGGGAAAGGATGTACTATTATATTTTTATACAGGCATGCAAGTCAAGGATCATAGCCCAACAAAGCCCTTCATTCCACCACAGTGGGAATTCTCACAACTAAATCTCTCTTCATTACACAGTTTTATACATTGTCTTTCTTCTGTCTTCCATTGTTGACATCATTAAAGCTCTTTTCACTAAATGTTAGACAGGGAAAAAGGCAGTGCAGCCGTCCACAGGCAGAGACGGTCTTAGACATAACTAGTCCATGCAGTAGGAAGCTTCTACTCATAGACTCTTGCTCAAGCTGGAACTCCTGAAGTTGCTGAGTCACTATTTTAGGCTGAGGGCAGTTTCACCAACTGATCTCTAGGTCACCCCTCTTCCCTCTCCCCTTTCCTCACTTTCTTTTCCCACCTTCTAATGTTTCTCTTTTGAACAACCTGAAGGTTGAAGGTTGAGGGCCATGTCCCAGATTCACAGCTTAGCAAATAGGAAGCAGAAGGTGAGCGCCTTGCTGGAGTCTGCATAGGTTATGAGTGCTGAAACTGGGATTCAAACTGGTGTCTTTTAAAATGAGATTAGTGAGTAAAATCATCAAAGGGAAGTGGTTTTTCCTTCTTTTGTTTTTGCAACACAAATTCCTTACCACGAGTTAACTGTACTTCTCTTTGTAAGGTGACAGAAGCATTGAAAACAGTAGAGCAGAAACTGGAAAGGAAACTCCGATACTTCAATAATCTCACTAATGCACTTGACTAATCGCAGAGTCAAGTCATTAACAGACAGTGTGCAGAGTTATCTGAAAAAAAAAAAACATTTTCAAGTAGTTTCCATTCGCATTAAACAGTTTGGTAATATCACAGCCATTTTCTTACTCAGAAAATAAAAGCCAGGTTTATCATTATTTTTAGAAAAAAGTCCAGGTTTTTAATTTTTCTTTTGACTTTTCTAAAATTGTTTATCCCTTTGCAATTATCTACCATTTTTCTACTCAAATTCATTTCTAGTAGTATTCTTGGAATTCACTATTATGAACTTTTTCAACTTCTTTTGTAAATAGATGAATATGCTTATAGATGAATAACAGCAGCTCAAGGGTAGTAAGTTGCAAATGGATGCTATAAAGCAGTCCCACATTAGCACAGAATTGAGTATAATAAAGGGTTCTTTATTTAGGGGTAGACTCACAGATCACAGTCCTCTGCACAAATGGGAAACAGGAACTGAATCCAGCTGCCAAGAGAGAGGTTGCAGAAACTTTATGGCTGCATTTATAGTACAAGAGACCATGCCCAAGTAGGCTGATATCCTACAGGCTATTGGCTGAAGGAATTCCTACAGCAGCGAGTCATATCCTTGGTGTTTTTCACATATTATCTTATTCCATCCTCAAGATAATTTGGTGAGATGAATGTAAAAATGTAATTGTGATAGTTGTTCAGATAAGCAAACTGAAGCTGATTGAAATTAAGTATTTCACTATGCCCAATCTAGAGAATGAAAGAGTAAGGATTGACCAATCCTTGATTAACCTGACCATCAGATCCACTTTGCCCATGATGGTACTGTATAATCAGAGTCTGCTAAATTTTGCAAAATTAATTCATCCTTTTAAAGCTCATTCATCTTACTTGTTTGAAATATTTCAATTTTTACTTTATGTTATTTGTTACTTAATCCTTTCTTAACCTTAATCTAAAAATGCTACTCTCACATTTCAGTGTAACTAATTCCCTTGAATATGATATGTTTAATGTGAACCACAACTCTTGTAGAAATACACCAACCTTTGAAAACATTCCAAATTCATATTTTCTGAAATTTAAATAACTTTTTGTATTTTATCTTGATACATATCTATATAATTTAATAAATAATGAATAAAATAAAATAATGAATAAAATATTAATAAAATAAATAAATAAATAATAAAAATAGAAGTGCTGAAAGAGAGGAAATGGGAGAGAGATGTTTAAAAGCCAAAGGAAAACAGTGTATTAAGAAATAATTATCTATTTAAAAATAGCTAAAGCATGTAATTTTGAATATTTCCAACATAAAAAATGAGTAGTTCTTGAGTTAATTCAGGCTAATAACCTGAATCATGACACACTCTATACACATATAGAAAGGTCATACTCATACCTTAGTCCATAAATTTGTACAATTATTATACGTCAAAGAACAGATTACAAACAAAAAATGTTGAAAAGCATATGAGATGGAAAAGTCCCAGTAGAGAGAGTTTCCTCAGTGTGGAGAATCTAGACCCTGGGTTAATGCTGTCAATATTCACCTGTATCTGGTCTGAAAATGTCTTAGTGTCTCTCTTCTGTTTAAAGCACGAGCTTTTGGTGATGATTGCTTTTCTTATTTTTTGTTATAAATAATGATTACAAAGTTCTTGAATTTTAGTAATGTGAAATTAAAAAGTTAAACTTGCCATAAATATAGTGAATTGAGTAACATCTCAAATATTCCCTCCCCTGCTCCTGACATCTACTTCATCCTGGCAAAGAATCCCTGTGAGCCAAAGTACTAGTAAAAGCAATGTGCACTATGTGAATAAGAAAGATTGAAATGAATTATTGGCAGTCTTTTGTTTTTGTTTCTTTTTAATAAAGACATTATTTGTATGGGAGGAAGAATCATAAATACCTAAACATATAGAAAAGGTTCATGAAGTGGAACAACACTCTGGGTTTGAGAGAAGGTATGCTATTCTGGGGATTTCAAGTGTTGCTATGAATCTCACTGTACTGCTAATTAGAATTTCATGACTCACCAAAATGTCCATCCCATTCTACAACCTTCCCTGTACAACCTGTCTAAGCAGCAAAGGCACTGTTTTCTGTGTATAGCCAAATAGTAAAAAATTATACAAGAGACTCCTATAGTTTAATAGTTTCATGTAGCTTAACAATAGTCTTCTATAGTTTAATAATATCTAATCATATGTCTACTAAAATATATAAAAGTGGAGGAGAATTATACTTGTCTCTGTTTTCTAGAGCCTTTCAATAGTCTCTGCCTTGTTGGACAAACAGCCCTGTTGGTCATGTCAACCTTGCTTAAATCTGACCTCTGCAAACCTACTCACCATATCTTAGGGCAGAATGAGAATCTGCTCACCTTTCTTTCCTGTCTGCTTACATGTAGAGATTTGTGAAATAAGTATACTCAGGTATTATTGTTTCAGAAATGAAAAACTCACTGAAAATTACCCTAATCATGAGTAGCAGAAGCAAATGTTTTGCCTAGATTTAATTGATCTATAAATAGTGGTTTCCATGATATAAACACATGCTCAGAATCTCTGTTTAAAAATATGAATGTATGAGAAATACCTAAATTTGAAAGTATAACTCAATGAGCAATTTCTTCTTTGGCTGAAGCTGTCATTAATGAGTTTAAGAAAGGAACGAGTTCTGGCGAAACAGTGTACCTGGCCTTCCCTTGTCATAGAGTCAGCTAAAATCACCAACCCTGGGCTGGGAGACATGCATAGTTTTATTTGGCTTAAAATCCAACTGAATAATGCCCTGAAAAGCTGTAAGAAATAGGGACTTGTGAGCTTGCCTCACCTGTAAGAATCTTCAGAGTATGCACTAAAAAGAACAACCCCAGATTCCTTGACTGGTGCATTTAACCTTCTAAACTCATGCCAGTGGAACAGTATTAAAGGCAAAATACCACCACGTGTAACCTTTCAAGGAATAGGTTAATGTAACATAAATTCCAACCTGAAAGTATTAGTCTACAGGGAATTGGCTTTGGATTTGTTGTCTTTTGATGTATTATTTCAATAACAAGACGTGATATTATTTCAGTTAAGAAACCTCTGGAGACCTAGAGAAGCTAAATAAGAAGACGATCCTGATGAAGATTATTTAGCTATCCGCCAGGAGGTAGAAAATAGTCAAGAGTCCCAGGTAACCTTGGGTGCATGGGGGGGGTGGGTGGGAGGGTTGTTGGAAGGGGAGAGGGTTAGAGAGAAGGGAGTAGGGGAGGAATGGAGAAAGCTCGGTTGACTGGGATGGGGGGAAGGGAGGAAGGATGAATAAGGGAACAGGGAAGAATATATTTCAACTAAGGGAGTCATTTTAGGGTTTATAGGAAACTTGATTATATATGGGATCCCAGGTCCAAGGAGAGATCCCCAGATTGTTCTCTGGACAGAGGAGAGGGTGCCTGAACCGGCCTTGGCCCACAACCATGCTGATGAATATTTTGCATGTCACCATAGAACCCTCATCTGGCGATGGATGGAGATGGAGGCGGAGAACCACGTTGGAACACTGGACCTAGCTCCCTAGGTCCAAATGAGAGGCAGAAGGAAAGAGATCGTGAGCAATGAAGGCAAGGGCACAGGAAACCTTCATCCGACGTTGGATGGCGATACAGATGGAGACCCATATTGGAACACCGAACTGAGCACTCCACAGTCCAAATGAGGAACAGAATGATGAAGAAAATAAAAAAAGTAATCAGGACTGCGAGGGATGCGAGCACCCACTGATACAAGGGGACTGATATAATGGGAGTTCACCAAGGCCTGTTGGACTGGGACTGAACGAGGACATGATCCAGCCAGATTCTCTGAATGTGGCTGGCCCGGAGCCTTTTTGAAAA